AGCATAGGTACTAGCCAAAAGCCCATAAATGCGTGTTTCGCCGATGTTTTGCCGCTTCATGGCACAGCTGCCAGAGGTCCGGCTCATCAGTGGGTCCCCCAGCATTCCCCGTGTGTTTTCTGATAGATACTGCAATTTAGAAATTATAGCTTTTTAATTTCCTCAGAAATGCTCTACGAAGTTGGAGTAGATCAGTTTATTCAAGGTCTATAGGCACAGACTGAGAATTTTATACATGAATATTTGGGCCATAGTGCATCAGCCACAGCGGGTAACCGTGTAATATTCATTGACTGCCGGCAGGCAGCTCGTAGTATACTGATGAGCCGAACCCCTGGCAGCTGGCGAAACACGCGTGTGTGGGCGTTTGGCTAGTACCTGTGCTGTTAGTATGATATCACCTTACCTTCAAGCATACTACTAGCTGCCTGTCGACAGTTAATGAATATTACACGGTTACCCGCTGTGGCGGATGGACTTTGGCCCAAATTTTCATGTATAAACTTCTCGGTCTGTACCTGTAGGTCTTGAATAAACTGATCTACTCCAACTGCGTAGATAATTTCTGAGGAAATTAAAAAAACGACAAGAACTAGCAACAGTTGACTCCATGTTTAAATTAGAAGGTACTCTCACGGCGCAGGAGACTGGATGTGCTCGACTTGAGCATGGATGTTCTGAAACGCGTTTACAATTACAAAGGATTACCTGGGTGGGTTGTGCTATAGATTATAGGTCAACATAGTACCCAGTTATCTCATTATCGCCCGAACGTTAACTTTCGAATGGGCTTCTTCGTGGTCGGCTAAAACAAACCACATTCGGGAACCTAATTAGAATTCTTTTTCTTTTCTTTGATTAACCATACCCTTATAAATGTAAATATATTTGGTAAAAAAACGAAGTATTCTTTTGGTGATAACCTACATCCTCCTTAATTTTGTACGTGAAGAAAGATTTTTTATGACCTTGAATTACGCACTTGCATAGCATCGTATCTGTACGGACATTAGTGTTGCTTATCAAGTTTACAAAACGGTATGCACCCATTCTAAAACTTCATGACATACCCAGGATGCTTTAGCATTAGAAAATACCACACTATCAGCACAGGTACTAATTAAAAGTCCAGACACGCGTGTTTCACCGACATTTTGCGGCTTCATGGCACATCTGCTAGGAGTTCGGCTCTTCAGTGGATACCCCATCACTCCCCCTGTACTTTCCAGTAGATACTCCACCTTAGAGATAGTTGCCTTTTAATTTCCACATGAATAGACTGCTAACACGGAGTAGATCAGTCTATGCGAGAGTCTATAGGCACAGAACGAAATTGGATGCATGAATATCTGGGCCGAAGTCCATTAGCCACAGCGGATAACTGCGCAATATTCATTAACTGCCGACAGGCAGCTAGTTGTGTACGTCGAGGTAAGGTGATACCATACTAACAGCAGAAGTACCAGCTTAAAGTCCATAAACGCGTGTTTTGCCGACATTCTGCTGCATGGCGCAGCTGCGAGGGATTCGGCTCGTCAGTGGGTCCCACAGCTTTTCCTGTCTGTTTTCTGGTAGATACTCCAATTTGGAAATTGTTGTTTACACATAGCATTTTGTTCCGAGTCTGTAGACCTTAAATATACTGATCTACTCTAAGGTCGCAGTTAATTTCTAAGAAATTATAAAGCAAAACTTCATCATATCGTCTGCAGATAGTCGTTATATTGACCGCTGCTCTTCCCATGCACGAACTAATTTAGTTGGTTCTTTTAACAACCAGCAATCTGTATGATGTCTCATAAATAGCGTAGAAACGTGGGTCATTTTTTGAACAGAAATAATACAGAATGTAGTTTCGGATTCAAAACTACTTGGAGGTCAAAGATGCACTTTTTAGCATATAATAAACAATTTTTGGAGTAAGATGTAATTTGCTACCAGATGAGTACTTGAAAGCCCATTCTTGTTGGTAATTTCTATCAAAATATTTGAATTTTTAGAGCCGTTGAAAATCACTGGGAAGATTCATATTGCTTAAGAAGTCATCTTTTAACGTAAGCAGTTTTGGCCCACTCAAAGGCCGCATCCTGGAATGACCGAAATATCCTGGTACTATACCGCATGCTAATCAATATACAAACAGCCCTTAAGTCATCTTTTTCTAGTTGAAATCCCATTTCAGAATTTTAGATAACATTTTATGGGGTAGGTCACAACCACCATTCTCCTCCTTCTCCTCCTCCTCCTCCTCCTCCTCCTCCTCCTCCTCCTTCTTCTCAACGTTTGTCGCTCTGGCGTCTGCCATGTTCGTCAACATTACACACAATCCTGGCACTTCAACAAAAATAAACACCGCCACTGTCAACACCAGTGCTGATGACCGGGTCTATACCTGCCCTCACTGCGATCGCACATTCCCCTCACGCATCGACCTGGTCGGCCACTTGCGAATTCATCGCACAGAGACCTGAGAACCAGTGCCTGGAGCACCAACCTACACTTGCCACATCCGCCTCTACCGTCCACACTGCACTCGCACATCCATGTACCGCATGGGCCTACTAGGCCACATGCGCGTCCGAGAAAACCTACAGTAGAAAACCGCTGGCTGCGCCACACCATCACCTCACCTCACCGCACATCAACATCACCCACCACAAGCCCCCAAATGCACCCCCCGAGCTTGTGGGAAGTGTGCGTCTTGACTCGGTCTCTGTGCGGCTTCTTTGCTGCATGCATGACTCGAGTCTGTGACTATCTAGTCGTGTCAAGGTGCACGAATTTGAAAGCTGCTGACTGACGCCTCAACTCGGCCCACGCAGTCCGTCCAGTTGTGTGTGTATGCTTGTGTGGAGTGGCGGACTGGTGCGCTGAAGGCCAAGCTGAAACTGTCCCCTATAAACATGACCTACGGCACTCTCACGCATGTGAGAGACAAGCTGCTCAACCCTCGTTGTGTGCTATCCTGGTGCCTGTGTTTGGGTGGCCAGCTCGTGCATGCGGCGTTCGTAGACAAGGTCACTGGACTATGTAAACCACCGCTCCCATTCCCCGCATCAGTCAACTGACCGGCTCGGACCGGGGTCTGGGGTCTGGGAAGGGAGAGTGAAGTCGGCGACTCAGCGCATTCTCCTCACTATAAATAATCTGACGCGCTTGAAGTTATCACGGCTCGCTAAAAGCCTTGGCTTGGAAGGTTGCCAACTAACGGGATAACTTGGATCTCGCAGTCGACCCAGTGCTATGTGTTGTTTGAAGTGGCCGGCTGGTGGTCTAAGAGTCGGGCTGCAATGGTTCCTTCTTAGTGTGGCCTCTATGACACTCCCACCCCGTGGGATCGGAGCCGGATGTGGTGGGTCCGGCCGCTCCAGCTACCTGCGCCCCGCCCCCGCCTCCGTTCTTCTTGCCACCGGGTCCAGTTGGGAGTACTAGAGAGTGCGACAGATGCTGCGTAAGTGCACTATCACTTTAAACCAGTTTACGCGCACTTCACCGTGTCCGCTGTACCTTGCTCTCGGCACACGGTGGACATCGTCGGGAACGACGGCCGAACTGTCGTCGGAGTGGCGGACTGACGGGCTGAGAGTCAAACCACAACGGCTGCTTCTTAACGTAACCCTCACACTCTCACGCCTGTGCGATGCATGCAGCCCACCTCCTGTTGTGTGAAATCCCGGTGTCTGTGTTCGGGAGACCAGGTCATACATGCGGCGTGCGCAAACGAGGTCACGACATAGGTCGGCAACTGCACCCATCCCCCCCCCCACCAGACAATCGGCGGGCTCGGACAGTGGCTGAAGCACGGGAATGGGAGGGGAGAGCGAGGTTGACGACTCAGAGCACTTTCCTCCTCACTATAAACAACCTGGCGCGCTTGAAGCCACCACGGCGCGCTAAAAGCCTTGGCTGTGTTCGGGAGACCAGGTCGTACAAGCAGCGTGCGCAGACGAGGTCGGAAACTGCACCCACTCCGCGCACCAGACAATCGGCCGGCTCGGGCAGTGGCTGCGGCGTGGGAATGAGAAAGAAGAGTGAGGTCGACGAATCAGCGCGTCTTTTCTCATCATAGATAATCCGAAGCTATCACGGTGCGCTAAAGGTCGTGGCTTAGAAGGTTGTCAACTGACAGGCTAACTTGGACCTCGCAGTCGGCCCAGTCTTGTGTGTGCTGCAGTTGAGTTGCCAGCTGGTGGTCTGAGAGTCAGTCTGCAACGCCTCCCACATTATGTGGTCCTTATGGCATTCTCACCGAGTGGCATTCGAGCCGGGCGTGGCGGCACGCCTAGGGGCGGCTCCGGCCACGTAAGTCACCTGCGACTTCTTCCACCTCCGGTCTTCCTGACTATATATTGACACCGAGACAAGGTGGGCGAAGAGGAGGTAGTGCGGTTAATGTTGTGCAAGTCTACTATCACCGGGAAAAAAAATCACGCACAAGTTACCGTGCCTGCCCTCACTCTGCTGCGGAGCACACGGTGAAAATCGTCGCTTAAGACAGCCAAACTGTCATTCTGAGGTGAATTTAAACACTACTAATACGCCGCCCTTCCAGTTGTAGCGGTACGAACTCGCAGACCAGTAGTCCCACACCCTTTAAATGTGCGACTCGGGATTCACAGGGAGTAATTTCCCTCGACACTGCAACCGCACCCTTTGCAGTGATAATATTGGGATTAACAATCTACATCGAAACTCGACCGTAAGGTGAGCAGCAAAACAAATGTTTTCACAGGCCACATAAATCTTCAGTTCCCTTCCACGCGGTGCTTACTTTACACAGCGTAGAGGCACATTTGTCACGATGGGGAAGCAGTAAATTACGCAGGAGTGATTTCATACTATAAAAAACATGGCGTTATTTGATCCGAGTTATTAAGAAACATAATCAGAAGAAGAAGGTTCGAGCCAACATGGGTATTTGGATACAAGTGGGTCACTCAGCGGCAGCCAGCACGAGCTGTCCATCAACAGCCGGGCAGGAATAAAACATTGAGACAATCTCAACGAACGGGCTTGCGCAGATGACAGTTGTCCTCTATTTCATGTTCTGAAACGGAAGGAGGAGGAGAGGGTCAAATTAAAATCTTTCCAGTCTTAGTTGAGGCATGGCTGCCGTTTTAAGCAGGGCGCATACAATTAGGCTGTCCGAAAGGTATTGTAAATTACACTTGCTCTTTGACCTCCTTTAGATCATTTGTAGGGTGCATGAAAACCCGTTCCGCTAAAATATACCCTTATGTACACTTATATCACGCTGCAATTTTCTCCCCTCCATAAAATTGTTCACGTTGTCTTTGTCTAGGATTCTCACCGAGTAACTTCACTAAAGGCACATACGCGGCGTTCGCCAATCTGTATTGATTGTAGAAAGGCATGCAAAGGGACTGTGTCATGCCTTGGCTTCCCGGCCTTGAAAATTCCTCGTCGGTAGCATTGCGAGGGACAACCAGCATACGAGAAGCGATATAACTAGAAGTACACATTCCAGTTGTCCTAGTTTACGCTATCGGTGCTATTCTTGGCGCCGAAACGACCTTCGCTGTAGATGCGCTGAACGGAAAGAGGGTCGAATTGGCTCACAGTGCGTGTTTGTCCAGCTGCGTGCGCGTCCTTGACGTAACGACCCGTCAGTCACCGTGTCCAATCCCACCACAATCTGGCTGACAAACCCGGGGAGACGACTGGTGCGTGAGAGAGAGAGGTCGGCATTGGCAGCCCATTCCCACGGCGACGAGCTCGTGTGCAGTACGTGTAGAGGGACTGTTTAGCTCGGCCATCCACTGACCCTGCGCCCACCAAAGACCCTCTTGTCATCCCTGCAAACTGGGCTAAGGAGGAGAGAGTGCATCAGGCGCAGTGCAAGTCCACCTCACATACGTGCCTCATCGGCACCGCACCCATTTGATGGTGCACACAGTTGAGGCTGTCGTTTGCGACTGTCGGCTTTCGTCCTTAAACTATGCCTTCGTCTGTGAGGCCTTCGGATCGGCGCTCCAGAGCAAAACGTCACGTTTGAACTCCGTTTATTAGTCAAGCCGGACTGGTGAACACACTCACATATGACTGCGTGCTTCTCATCGCGACCAACGGACTGTGAACCATTAACTGTAGTGGTCGAGCGTCTGCCTTAGCCACCAACTGGACCAGTCCGCAGATCTTCTCCGCCTGTAGGGAGGCTGATGGCGACCGAAAATAAGTCTTTCGCCTGTCTATGCGGCGTTGCGAGAATGTGCGCTATTTTATCATGCCAAAAGAGAAAGTCTGAGATATTTGAATAAAAGCTGTGATGGAAGGAGTAACTGGTCAGGCCGCTATAGTTAAGCAACGCAAAGAGTTGGTGAACAGTCGATGTGGGCCCACCATGAAGTCAAGTTGATCATGTCTCCCAGGAAATTACAGTGGATTTGCCAAACTCCCATCAGTGACCGACAATATGCGAGAAACCATGCTGCGCGAATTTATGCGTGCTTGATTACGGACTGACAGTTTTTGTTTTAGTTTGCCTAGATTATTTCTGCCATCTGCTCGAATAGGGTTGATAGCCCTCAATTTGTGCTCGGACAACTGAAAATGGTTTTATTGAAGAAGAAGGCTGGTCGAGCACAGAAATGTTTTTTTTATTGTTCTGAACATTCGACCTCGTGCAGGAGTCCACGGTGAAAAATAGCAACAACCAGTGAGCAAGCGACAACGGTAGGGCGCGTTAAACAATCATGCTACGGTGGCGCAAGACGGGGATGGTTGCGCAGAACTCTGTACGCCGGCCCCAGATAGAAAAATCGATTGACTGCATTTTTGTCCGAAGCCCAAGTTCAAGCAATTCTCAGATAGTCTTATTCCCGGCGTCGACGATTACCTTTGTTGCTGTGATGTTAAACTTATGACCCATTTCGTTGGTGTGGAGAGCCACTTGTGATAATTCGTTGACCCGTAGCACAACCAGCTTATGTTCGAGCATGCGCGATCTGAGCATGCGTACTGTTTGGCCTGTGCAGTTACAAGCATAGTTTTGGCACGGGATGCGACACACCGCGCCACATTGCTCCTGGGGCTTTGACCGGTCTTAGTGGCTTTAGGTCGTACGCAATTCCAAAACCTAGTTCCTCAGCAATACGTTTAATCGCTTCTGAAATGTCCTTACTGTATGGCATGGAATGCCATATCGTTGATGATGTTGGTGTAAGCTCCTCTGGCAGCGACTTATAAATACCTTCGGATAGCCATGCTACTAAACAGGTCGCAGAGATAACGGGCATCGACTATTCTTTCCTTCTGTTTGCTGCAATGAGTCTGACCCGTTTAAATGATAACCACATCAACTCTGACTGTTTGATCCAAACCCTTTGTAACTAATCTACGCTGATTTAAAAAGATTTTTTCTAAATAAATGGTCTACCCTAGCAGGACTTATGTTGTAGGCATTGCATGAGGATATAGAAAAAAGTGTGCTTTCTCGCCCACGGATTGAAAACTAACGTTGATAGTAGGTGATGAGTTCTTGGACGGTGAGGAAACGACTATCGTCTCGCAGGTAGCACTGGCCCATGCTTGTGTCGAAGGAAAGTTTGTAGTGTTTCACTTTGACGCCTTCCTGGGAGTAGAGACGGACGGAGAGGGCGAAGGTTTCGTCACCTGACAAGACGCAAACAGATGAAAGTCTTGAAAAAAGAAAGGGTATGAAGGACAATTTGCAGATTTGATGCCGTTTAACAGTGTTTTTTTTCCATCCCATTCATTACTACTATTATTGGTGCCATGTTCTGTATATCTCCTGACGACTGGGACTTCTCACTATATTGGATTTTTCTAGTACCACTACTGCTACTACTGTTACTACTTCTTCTACTACTACTACTGCTACTACTAATACTACTACTACTACTACTACTACTACTCCTACTACTGCTACTACTACAGCTATTATTACTACTACTACTACTACTACTACTACTATCACCACTACTATTACTACTACTACTACTACTGCTACTACTATTACTACTAATATGATTATTATTGATACAAAGGACTCATTAGAGGCAGTTATGAAATCCACTCGGCCTCGGTGAGATCCGAACCGCGACAGCAAGGACAAGGCCTGAGTACAGCCAACGCTCTCACCTTCTGAGCTACGGGGGCCCCGTCTGGGAGTCATGAATTTAAGCACATTTGAGTCAAGTAACCCGTCCAGCCAACTGCAACATATATAATTCACCAAATTTGGTACAATAAGCTGACTGTCGAAGCAGGATTCGCCGAAAAATTAATCTAGTGTGCACTGGATGACTACCAGGTCCACTTAATTAATCGGTGCTCCTTGGCAGATTTGAAAAATTCATTTGACTGAATTGTGAAAAACTCGGCAGTCAAGGGAGGATTCGAATCCACGGTAGCTTGAGTACAGTCAACGTCCTAACCAACTTGGACACGAGGTCCTGCTCTAAGGTCTTGACTTTTTTAAAAACCTACTATAACTGAAATCAGCCTTGAATCCAGCAGAGTCTCATGAATTAGTCAAATCCGCTAAAAACACCATTTGTGTATCAGATAGCCGCCTAGTGCATTTTTATTGATTTTTCAGGAAATTCTGCTTTGACAGTTAAGTTACTGCACCAGAATAGGAGGGTTCCATACCTTACAGGAGATTGGACGGGTAACTTCACTCAAATATAGTTAAATTCACTGTTAAGGTCCTGCCTTTGTTTTCATTGGTTCGACTGAGACATTTTCATAATTAGATCGACTGAATTATAAAATTCTGATAGAAATACCACCATGGGATTGCTAGTTTTCGTTGTTATAACCATTCCTGCTACCGTTGTTATTCCTGACTCTGCCAGTTATACTCCTATCGACATTTCTACCGGGAAAGCCTGATTCTGTCTGGATGTAAGTAAGACGTGTGTTTTAGAGGCATTCTTTATAGACTGTTTTATCTAAACATGATTGAAGTTCTTCAAAACAGAAATGTTTTCTATTTTTGAAGTGCAAGCGCTTTGAGCCCATTAAGAGACAGTCTTGAACTTGGTTTCCCCTGTATTATTGATCTAAACCTCAAGTGAGTCAGTGTCTACAAAGGATTTTTAATCCTAGTACCCAGTTTAGCTCATGGGTCTGCAAGTCATATCGCACTTAAATGTCTTTTGATCAAGTTTACCTTCATCGTATGAAAAAATCTCACTCAAAGATCCGGAGGAAGACTTGGAGAAATGACCACTTTCCGTTGACGAAACAGGCGCTTTCTTTCAATTCTAGAACTGCGTCTTTTTGACATTGAATTGTACTGAAAGTTTCCGTTACTGAAATGGCTGGAAATAGGTCTTTTAATCATGCATGCCGCTATGTGTTTACCGTTCAAGCTGCTACATGTTAACTTTGCTTGTGGACGCCATTTACAGGATTGGGAGGAGAGTAATAGAAAATAAGGCCGACCATCGGCGCAATTCTCTCACTACAAACAATCTGACGCCCTTGAGCCTATAGAGGGTGCGCTAGAAGCGGTGGCTTGGAGTGCTTGCAGATAACCCGGACCTCGCAGCCAGCCCAATGTGTGTTTGAGTTGGGCAGCCAGTTGGTGGACTCAGAGTCAGATTACGATGGCTCCTCCTTAATGTGGCTTCTATGGCACTTTGACATGCATGAAATCTCAGTCGCCCACTTCCTTGTGTGAAAGTCGAGTGGAGGCTGGTCGCATGTGTGGTGCGTGAAGACGGGCTGTTCCTAGCTCTGTCACTCACATCTCCCAATCCTAATATCAGTTGGCTGTCCGGCTGGGACAATCGACTGGTTCACGAGCAAGGGAAGAGCGATCGAGGTCGACCCTCAGCGCAGTTTTCTTACCCTAAACAAGTGCACGCGTTTGAGCCTATCACAGTGCGGTAAAGGGTGTGGCCTGAAAGGTTGCCAGACCTCACATTCAGCCCAATATGTGTGTTTGCGTGGAGCCGCCGACTGGTAGACTGAGAGTCAGACTGCAACGGCTCCTCCCTAATGTGACACTCTCTGTTAGTTAGCATCCGAGCCGCTCTACCTTCCTTTTGTGAAAAATCCTAGTCGTTCGTATGCAGACCGGGGCTGTGGCGGCACTCCAAGGTGCAAGTTCACGCCGCACCAGCCACCCGCGTCCTCCCCCGCATCCGGTTTTTCTGACTCTGTCATGAAACGGGACAGTGGTGGAAGGAAAAGAGAGCCTGTGCGGTAGATACGGTGCAAGCCGACTATCACTATAAACCGTTCCAGCGTCCGCCCTGCTGTTGGGTATACGGTGGACATCGTTGAAACCGACGGCTGAAACGTAAAGCGCACTCTGATGTACCATGAAGGGGCGTGCTCGAATTCAACACAACAGTATGCCATCTGTCACTGGACGCGTTGTCAGCCAACGGGTTCTGGGGCCTGAATGACAGCGGCATTCCCCATTGAGACACCTGCACCCTCAGTAGAAATTTTCATAAGGACGCAGCTTTGCGCCTACCTCGCCAGGGCTTCAGAGCTGCGCAGACTAAAGCTCTGACAGTACCGAGGACATTAATATGGCCGCAAAACAACTCACCAGCTCTAGGCCTGAGGATAAAATTTTCATCCCAGTTAGCCGCAGTTGCAAGAAGCTTTTTGATGGCCTGCTCCCTGTCAATTTCATGGATGGCATCAAGGATGTGAGAGGTACCCTTCCTGTCATTTACGTAGTTGAAGGGAATGAAGCCCTTTTTGCCTGTTCTGGGATTGAAACCCTTCCACCAGTCGCCGGTGGTGTCGTAGACGACTAGCAGGTCGCCCTCCTTAAACTGAAGGTCATTGGGGTCGTAGGTCTGAAGGTCGAAGAGAGCCACGGCGTAGGTCTTCTTCTGGGCGGCCGTTGGATATTGATTCGGGCTTGTGGCTGTGTTCTGCACCAGACTCGCACTCATCTATGCGTTCGAGAGGAGGTGCAAAAGAGAGCAGTCTGATATAAATTGGAAGATGAGAAACAACATGACATCTTTCCAACGGTTTCCTCCTCATCCTCATGTAGGCTATGGCAGACAGTTGAAAAAGAAGGATCAGGTTCGTGGGCGAGAGCCCATTGATCGGATTTCGAGATATAGGGAGAACGCGTTAAGTCCTGGTCTGATGCTTAACCTGTTAGGAGAGGAGCTTTCCTGACCGACTCGTTCACACGCCCCCGCCTTAACAACGCGCACACACACGCCGTCTTATCGATCAACCTACACGGCGTGAGCGTGCTGAGGTCGTTCAGGATTGGAGGGGTGGCCGACCACTCAGATGAGTCAGAAGTCCAGTCGTCATACTAACAGCTCAAGGGAATGATCTAACTGGCTAAATTCCAAACCGGCCTTGAAAATTTGCGTACGTACCTTTTCTCGCTAGGTTTTTGCCATAAGGACTCAACAATAGACTTCTTGTTCCCCCACCCCTCCTGCTGAGTCCTCATTTGGGGATTTGATCGCGGAGAGTTGTAGAAATGGTTACTAGCAAGGCGTTACGGCAAGGACATGACATAACACACCCACATTTCCACTCTGTCCTTTCTAAACGCATTACACCTCCATTAAATGCCCTGTCCTTGAATGCTCTTAGGTCCGATTGCGTTGCATTGCTGTTAATGAGGGTTATTCTACTTCGACCGTTATTTTATTTAAACATTAAAGCTCTCATGCTGGTGCCACAGTTCTACTGTACCTTATTTGTACAATGGAATAGCAGCGCACAAACAACAGTTGCGGTGGAGCGTGTGTTGCAGGGCGTTCAGCAGACTTCTCAGCTAGAGTTCAAATATTCCAAAGAAGAAACTTTTCTTGTATGACTTCAGGATGCACTCTCCATTAATCTAGCACTCGATCCATTCTTTTCACTCGAAATACGGCTCTTATGTCACCTCAGGTAGCGCGTCAGGACGGTCTGTAACTACTGATCCCGCCACCCGGTCGTTCTGACTCTCTCTCTGGCCACTGGGCCCAAGTGGATGAGGGATGCGAAACTGCCCAGAAGCTGTCTTGACACCGGATCCAGGTGGGGGGAGGAGAGAGTGCGGTAGATGCTGTGCAAGTCTACATTCACTATAGACTAAATAACACAGAAGTCACCGTCCCTGAGTCCACTCCCAGTGGCCATCGCATTTCGTTACACTTAGATCGTCATGTTACCCCAAAATGTGTCAAAATACTTCCTCCCCGAGAACCTTGCCGAAAATGCAAGTGGGTCTGGAGCGGCCTTTGCCAGCCTATTTTTTCGTCGCGCTCCAATCGCACTTTTGCGCCTGAGTAACACGCCCCACCCTGAAGTCATGTGCTCACAACTTTGTCAGTTACGAACGGAAATATTAAGTCACAGATAAGTACATGACAGAAACTGGGCAGTTTGGTTTTTGCAGAGTCGATGAACTCGCGATCACGGAGACAGTACATTCATTAGTCCGAAGTTTCGGTCTCAAAGAGGAAGCCATCATGAGAGAATGTGAGAATGCAACACCAAATGAGCAGTTATATAGTCAAACAAGAAAACTCCGACAGAGAGCCCTTGTAGACGGAAAATTAAAACAGAATTGACGGATCCTATATGTTTCCGTAGGTTGGGTGGGGGGAGGCAACTTAGTTTACTTGTGAATAAAAATAAGGCTTCCAGTGAACACGAAAAGGTGGCTGAGCGTTGCCTTTGCGCAAGACTTTGATGTTGTGGATTCGAATGCCGTCGGGGGACCTTTGATGTTTTCTGAAGTGAGTCAGATGAAACCAGAAATAGTCATTACAGTCTCTTGTGCTTCGCTTCGTGGGTTTTCCTTAAGAGCATCAAAAGTTCATTTTCAAGAGTGCATGACCGTCCTCGCTGCCACTACGGAATTTCTGGAACAACCTACATACAGTCTGGTAACTTGTAGACCCTTCTCGCCATGCGCAGTTGATAGTAACGGTTGTTTTGGAAGGATTATGACCGAGCTTGAACTTTGATACTAAAAGTAAACGCAGTTCCTCTTCTTTATATTCGTCATTAAGAGTTTTTACGCTCCAAAACTGTGCTCTGAAAGCAATTATAGAAGAATTCTCAAAGAATACGCATCAGTTATCAAGCATGCAAAAGCATCTATAAAAAACTGCGAAAATAGCAATTCTTAAAGAAGTCAGTCAAAATATCGACCAGTACTTTCCGAACAACCGTCACAGTTTGACGTTTGTGGTCGACGATGTCCACCGTGTGTTCCACAGCAGGGCGATAACAAGGACAATGACCTGCTTACGCAACATCCAGCGCATTCTGTCGTCCTAATCCACCTGCATCCGGTGCATCCAAGATAGAGAGTCAGGATGACCGGAAGAAGGAGAGGCCGCACGTGGCCGGCGCGGCGAAAACCCGCACCTAGGCGTACCACCACACACCCTGACCTACAGCAAACGCTTGATCAGGCAGCACAGATCCCACTTCACGTGGCATGAGCCTGAACAGCCTGACCAGCCACCACACCCCGAATGTTGAGACCTTTTTTGAATGGGCATTCCCAATAAAGGGTCAGATGTGGTCATGTAGTCCCTAGCAGAAGAAAACAAATCCCAACCATCTGTTAAACGGGACCGGTGGTAATAGGGGTTTTTACAGGTGGGGTCGGGGATCGCACACGCGACGAGGTCAAGTACAGTAGGTAGGCTAACTCATGAAATGTCAGCCGAAATTTCGAAATGCGTTCCCGTTTCGAAAAGATTCATTAGTAGAGTTGTAAAACTACATTTTACAGCATAATGCTATAATAATCCAGTTACCTCAGGGTGTAAGCTTTCGAATGAACTTCTTTTTGACTGCATGCAAGAACTATAGTCTGCAAAAATGACTACTTAAAAAGCATGCAATTGTGTCATCGATTATCGATGCGCCCAAAAATTCAATCACATTTCGTAGAAAAAATGAATACAAATATTCATTCTTTTGCTAATTCGGTAGAAATCGCGTCTTTGTCCAATTTTATACTCAAAGGAAGGGCATGATTTGGTCTTTAAAAACTTTTACAATTCCGACTAATTTTGAAACCGACCTGCCATTACACTTGCATGCAGGGTTTCCAAAGTACAAGCCGTATATTTCCCGTGTACGGAAAACCATACATTTCTCTACGGTATTAAGAGAAGGCCATGTGGGGTTCATAAAATTTAGCAGTGGATTTGAGCCATATTGTTAACTTAACAAGCTGTATAAGTAAGTGCAGAGACATGACCTTTTATGAACGGCCATTCCACGGTATTAAAAATCGCGCAATTAAAAATTTGTTTAAAACCGAATTATACCGTACCTTTGAGTATAACATTGGAAAAAGACGCCATTTTCTACCGAATGAGCAAAAGAATGAATTTTTTTATGCATATTTTCCATGAAACATAACTGACCTTTTAAGGGCATCGAGAATTAATGAGAAAATTGCATGCTACACAAGTAGTCATTTTTGCAGAGCATAGTTCTTGCATGCAGTCGAAAAGAAGTTCATTCGAAAGCCGAAACCCTGAGGCAACTAAATTATTATAGAATTATGCTGCAAAAGGATTAGTTTTACAGTCTACTTAATTAATCTTTTCGAAACGGTAACTCATTTCGAAATTTCGGTTTACATTTCATGAGTTAGCCCACCTACTGTAATTGTATTCAAAAGAAAGGCTATTGGGGATGCGCGGTTGTGATTTGAATGGTTGAGAACTACTTGCTTCAATCCCTAACCCTAACCCCTTATTATGACCTCTAACACTAAACATAAGAGTATTGTGTCCATCAATTGGGACTACATAACCACATCCTACCCAATAAAGGCTTCCTGATTCTGATCCAGCCCCTGCGTTAATCCAACGCGTGTTACAGCGCGGCCTTTTTTGGTGGGTGAATTCTAACAACCTAATAACTCCAAGTCCACATATTAATTTCTTAAGTAAATGAAAATCCCGACAGCGAAACTGGCGCGCACTTCCCTAAAAGCATACGGGGAACCCTGAGGAAGCTACTGGTGTCCCGAGACTCCAGACGTCTGAGTCAAGGCGCCTGCCGGAAATGTGGTAAATCAATCAATAATCGCATAAGAATCTAACAGGAAGGTAATGAGGCATGAGGTAGAAGGACGTGGGAGGGGAGGGATGTAGTTAAGCCGGTTATTTGAGAAACAAATTGTGGCAAGGAGTCCTTTTGGAACCCAGAGGCAGGATTGAATGTAGAGAAATGCACCAACAATCGACGGTGCCCGACGTGGAGCTGGCAGTTTTGGGTGTTTTTAAAAGATGTTTACAGGCCTGATCGTATTTCGCAGCCGTAGACAAGCCCCAGCCGCGTGTCATACGGGACCAATGGTAATAGGGGGTTTAACACTAACGCCCCAAACCCCCTAATCCTAACGCCTAGGCCTAACCCCCAAAGCCTAACGCCAAACAGGTGCGGCTACGAAATAGTATCTTACCTCTTTACAATTTTCACATAAATTGGACATTAAGATAGAGAGATCTCTTGTTGATAGAGTCCAGATTGTTTGATCTCTTGGCAAAGGTCAACTATATGCTATTGCAAATAGACGAGATCACTGGAAATGCACGCATTCGCCCACAAAAGGCGGAAATGGTGTTTTTGAAGGAAATTACTTCGGCAATACCAGTTAGTTTGCTTTTCCGATGTAGTATTGTCTTAGGGTTCTTTTAGAGAACCCATTTTGTCAGTTCTCCGTATAAGTCAACAAGTAGCCCACCCTTTTCTCCGCAACTATCTCCTGAGAAATCACCAGTTGGGTTCTCGATAAATTACCTGCACTTCTGATTGGTCGATTTTGTGACAGTCTGTTTCACTGAACTTCGAGCTCAGTGTGTTTCTTGCTCTGCTCATACACGCAAGGACCCTTATATAGATTAGGCCGTGAGGAGTCTGTCGGGCGTCTCGAGAATGGAGTTCTATTTTGAGC